GTTTCCTTGACTGGTGAAGACTTCCGGACCCAAGGCGAAATGTTTCAGCACAAAAAAAGAAGCTGTCCAGATGACCTGACTGAAAAATGTTGGATTGTATACCTGGATTATTGAGCATGGACTTTGTTATCGTTTATCGTAATAATTTCTGAAACAATTAATCGTCCAGCAAAATTAGTTATCGTGACAGGTGTAATTTTAATACTTTTGTTGGATGTAATTGGGACCCTGTGTACACAACTTTGTTCCACTACAAGTACCACATGTGATGCGAAACACAAATAAAGAACCTTGACTCATCAAAACAGAAGTGTTTCTGGGGACACAGATCAAGGACGGACCAGAACAGGTACTTAATGTATTCTTTTTCTAACTAATAATAATCAAACTTTTCTTCAGAACATCAAAGTGATCCTTCCCTTGACGTTTTAAAGTGATCTAACTCACCCCTTCTCTCCCTTCTTCAGGAACTTCTGCACTTCTTTCACTCCTCTCCGGATGTTTTTCACTCTGGCAGCTAAAATCAGACGAAACACCGAGTTTTAATCTACTTCCGGTTTCAAACAGCCTGGACACCAAATGCTGCAGGACGTGTTTTCACCCTTTTTGACGCATTTGTACAGCTTCTTGCTGAGTTTCCGCGGGGCCAGAGGCTGCGAGATGGGGTTCAGGTGGGCCACCAGCTCCTGGTAGCTCCTTTCGGACCCGCCAGCCGCCGGAACCGCCTCCTCCTCCAACTTCTCCTTCTTCACCTTCGTCATTTCTGATCGATAACTGATGTTTTGTTGTTGTTTTTAAATGATGGATTTCTCTGTCCTTACAGCACGCGCTCAAACAGCGCGTGTTTCCATTTCCGCTGATCTGAGTGAAACACCGGAACCAGCAGCAGGACCAGCAGCAGAACAAGCAGCAGGACCAGCAGCGCCCCCAGCGACTCGGAGCAGAACTGCAGCCTGTTCTTCAAAATGATTCCATTTTTTTATCCAACCTTTATTTCTACAGGTTAGTCTCATTGAGCCTCGAGGACTCATTTACAGAGAGACCTGTTCCAGACAGATCATATAAAGTTCAGACAACAATAACAGTAAATAACAATGACAACAATAAACTAGAGTAAAAATGAAGTTAAAATAAGAGTAGTGTACAAAACAATACATCAGGGTGAAATGATAAACACAAGAACATATTTGCTTTGATTTTTCTATTGACATTATTATCAAATGTTAGAAACCCCTTAACAAAATCAAGGTCATCAATCATCTTGAAACAGGAAGCTGTCCTCCCGTTTCAAGATGTTCCAGGTGCAGGAGCTGAGTAGGAAAAGGTCTTTTTGTCAAGTTCATTCTGAACTGAGGGAACGCTGCAGGTAATGATGTCCTGAGAGCGCACGCTGTAACTGCACTGACGACGTGACATGTGGGAGGAGCTATAAGAAGGCAGCAGACCAAGGAGGGATTTATAGATGAAGATGAACCAGTGTGAGAGTCTACGTGTAGATAATGATGACCAACTGACCAGTGAATGCTGGGTGCAGTGATGGGTACGGTAGTTACAGCCAGTTATGAATCTTAGTGCACCATGATAGACAGCATCCAACATCTGCAGCATCCAACATCTGCAAACAGCTGGCAGGAACATTCATGTAAATAATGTCACCATAGTCAATGGCCGGTAAGAAGGTAGAGGTTAAAAGGTGCTTTCTGGCATTCAGAGTTAAACAAGATCTATTTCTGAAAAAGAAACCCAGTTTTAATTTCAGTTTCTTTATCAGGTTTTCAACATGTGGTTTAAAAGAGAGATGTGCATCGACCAAAGTTCCCAAGTATTTGTAAGAATTTACAAACTCAATATGAACACCATGCATGGATGAGAGGAGGAAGAGTTGCTGGCACCAACTTTCTGTTAGGGTGCATTCACAGCAGCCCTGTTTAGTCGCTTTAATCGAACTCTAGCTTGTTTTCCTAGAAAGTCCGGTTCATTTAGGGAGGTGTGAACGCGCCATCGAACTCCGTCATGGAACAAAAAGGTGAACTCTGGACCGGGCTAAAACCTAGGTCTGGGTCCGGTAGAAGAGAACTCCAGCACGGTTCCAGTACAGTGTGAATGTAAACAGACCGGCCCCGCTCCACAGGACAAACAAACACACATTTCTCTTATATGGAGCCGTCAGCTGACTTGTGTGGAAAACAATATTCTCCATGGTCTTCTGTCTCATCTTCTGCTCATGCTGAGTCCATTGTTGAAAAATGACTAAATATAACTCCTAAAACTGATAAAACTTGATGCCACTCCGTTTTTATTTTTATTTACAGAAGAAGAAGAAGAAGACGTGTCTTCAGAGGTTTTTGTGTCGTTTCTTTCAGTAGTTCTTGGTGCAGCGCCCCCACAGGCGAGCGGGGGAACAGGTTGCTTCAACAGGTTGCTTCAACAGGTTGCTTCAACAGGTT